TGTTTGCACATAGACTAATCAACTCATTACATTATAATTTTTTAATGAGAAATGTTTGTGAGATTAGTGGCATCATTGGGCACTTTTACAGATCTCGCCTATCTGGCATAATGGAAGACAGTTGGACACTTATCTGCATCTGCATTGAATCTGTTGTGACAGATTGTTTTGATTGCAGGATATGAAGGCAATCTAGTCTCAGATAATGTAGTTGGAAAAAGGATTATGTTAACCTTTTTTAGATGGCTGTGGATATTCTTTGATACTACGCCAAAAATCAACAAATGGTAACTTAAAAGTTAGTTGCAATCTGAAATCAGGTCAAACTTTTTGTACACTGGTAACAGTAAAATCTATTTGTCTTCCACTTTGAATGGATCTTTTACCCATATGTGATTTCGTAACATTGTGTAATAGTTGGAAGATGGTGGTATGATTTATGTAGATAGTCCAAATGTTGACATTTTTTATATCACATAATCCTGTTTGTTAATATCATTAATCTTACACCTCTTTAAAAACCAGGAAACTGAGAAGATCACAGCTTTTCCAAAATTCTGACTTTTGCCTAGATCCTCAAATTTTATCATTGGCAACAAATGGTGGTTTCCCTGAAGTGATGGGCTCAATTCCTCCAAATTCCAAAGTCTGAATAAACATGGTTTGTTCATCAGTTTCTCTTTCGAGCAAAAATGGTGCCATGGAAAAAGCTCAAAACTTAGCAATTGCACAAGTACCTTTCTTTGAGACAATCATTGCACCTTTTTGTGCAAGAAAGTGCTTTGTGCATGTTACCCATTTCATTATACAAAATATTAAAAATTCTTGTACTTACGGGTTGTAAATTTTAAAACAAAGATTTCACTGTTTGAGTAAAGGTATTCACTTGTTGAGATGGGCATCAGAGTGAACCTGCTCCAGCCAATCTTGTGCATCTGCACCATTACAGTTTTGAGTTTTTCATTTTTCAAACCCATTTTCTTACCTGGTTCCTCATTTTTTTTCTTATTTTCAATTATCAATATTCATTTCAATTTTTATTTTTTTATTCTCAATCACATTTTATTGTGCCTATTTTTAAAGGATGTATATGTATATCTTAAATATATATTCCATTAGTTTGTGATTTATTATAGATCTATGGTCCATTCAGATCTACTGACTAATTATTTACTCATTCATTTATCTTTTTTAGTATTCACTCCGAAGGACAAGATATTCACACACACACCCCACTCGTAAATATAGATCCAAGTCCTATGTCATATATGGTTTGCAAATATTTTCTCCCAGTCTGTAGCTTTTCTCTTTCCTTCTCTTTCACAGAGCTAAAAGTTTTTAATTTTGATGAAATCCAATTGATATTTTTATTTTGTAGGTTATACTTTTGGTGTCTTGTGTATGGACTCCTCACCTAGACCTATGCCTTGCAGATTTTTTAAATGTTTTCTCCTTAAAGTTTTTTATAATTTTATGTTTTACACTTAAATCCATACTCCATTAATTTTTGTGTAAGGTGTGAAGTTTAGACTGAGTTTGTTTGTTTTTTGCCTATGGACAGCCAATTGCTCCAGCACCATTTATTGAACAGACTCTCCATCCTGCCTGGGCTTTTAAAATATTTTTATTAGGGGAAAAGGTATCAATTGTGTCCTGTCTTTTGAAGTTTAAGACTAAGCTGTCTTCAGTTGACAAGCTGCGGAACTCCAGCAGTTTATGCAGAAGATGATGGGGAAGATGATGGCTTAGCAAAAAGAAAATAGTGATTAAGTCTGTGAGCCTGCTGCTTGTTGTGTGATGTGGCCTAAGATGATAAGGAGGGAAGTTGATGTGAGGTTTGTGAAAGTTATAATACAGGAAAGGGTACATTTATTTTATAACAGTTTTGAATTGGGTTTGAGACATCATATCATTTAATCCAGTGATGGAAATGTACACATGAAGTCAATGGAGCTTGTGTCTTGGTTATTCTAGACCTGAAACTTCCTAGTTTACTTATCTTTCCTCTTGCCTTTATCATCCCTCAAGGATTATTTACAGTAGTTTTTTTTTAANATATAAGCCTGTGGTTTAATATATTCAATTATTACAATGTTTTATTATTTTCATTGTTTTTGTTTAAAACATTGTTTCTCATAGACGTGTCCTATTTGCGTGTCTCTTCCATGGGGAGATCCTAGCCAGATTACTAGAAATTTCGTTAGTCACCTAAATCAAAGACATCAATTTGATTATGGAGAATTTGTGGTAAGTGAATTCTTTAAGATTAAGAAAATACTGTTCAAATATTTAATAAATTAACTTTTAAAACCTAGACTTGAGTTTTGAGGCAAGCTGATGTATCATACTGGTTACAGAGCAAGTTCTATTGTTTTTATAATAATATAGGTGAATTTTAGTTTGTAAAGGTTGAATTTACTGTCCACCTCCTATACTAGAAAGTTAATTAATAGAGAAAGAACACACCCTCAGATTAACAAAATAATGATTTATATGAAAACTGAGGGAAAACTAACTGCTAGAGAAGTAAAATTGATACAACAGATGAAGTAGGATATAGGATGTATTTTTCATGTAGTGTTAAGTTGCTTATTAAACTCACTGTAATAGATCTCATATCTAGCATGTGAGATACATTTTTAAAACTGAGGGTGCTTAATTATCAAGTAAAGCCAGGTTGAATGGTAGATTCTGGCCTCAGCTGACTGCTTTAAAAGGGTGAATGAGGAAAAATTAACATATAAAAATGGATCCTGGGGCCGGCCCAGTGGCTCAGTTGGTTAAGAGCTCGCTCAATAATTTGAGCTCTGAGCAACAGTGGTTTGATTCCCGGCCCGAGCTGAGCAGCTGCTGAACTGCCAACAGGTGGCAGGATGGCTCAGCTTAAAAAAAAGAAAAAAAAAAAGGATCCCAAAGCAAACCATGGGGTTAATTTCTACCTCTCAAATGTGTCATGATAATTTTTTAAATTCGTTGATGGGTCTTGTTTTATTAATTGTGAAATTGCATTTTATTCAACTTCAGTGAATTAAAGCTATNTGTCAGGCAGAGACATTTATAAGCTCCATATGCCCCTTCTTCTACATGCCTGGGTCTCCCCTCCAAGGAGACCTCCGCCTGGATCCAAGTCTCTGCAGTTATCTGTTATCCACCGGGGCCCTAGGCAGTGCCTTGGACGTGCCCTCCCTGTATTTATCTCCCAAGACTGAGACTCGGGAACTTTAGCTAATTGAGCTTACTTAATGGATGATTTATATTTAATGAGTGGTTAGTATATGCCAGGAACTGTGCTATACCCTGGACAAACAATATTGAGTAGGAAGACACAGTCCCTACCCATAAGACGTTTTACAGTTGTGAGTGAGGGACAAACATTAAATATTCACACATGCAAATACACACGCATATGAGCACATGCACACACACATGAATCTAAAATTGCAACTGTGGTAATTTCTACAGAGGAGAGTTACATGTGCTATGAGAGCACAAAATAGCAGGATTTGATGCTGTCAGAGGGGTCACAGGAAAGGTCCCTGGTGAAACCTGATTTGAGGGCGAAGTAGGCATTAACTAGACAAACACGGAGATAAAGAAGTAAACCAGTTCTTCTGGTTTTTTCCAGCATTGCAAACTCCTTTCGAACATCAAAATGTTTCTCAGACCTCCTCAGGATGAGTTGCTGATTTTTATGATTTGAGGAAAGATACAGTGCTATTAATCCACCAACAACTCTAAATGGGTTTATAATTGATTAATCACTCAACATTAAACCACATATCTTATTTTTATGGGATATTATGTACTGACTACACGGACGACATACTACAGTGTGTGGCGTGCACCTGGGCTCCTTAGGGTTTGGTGACTGTGGGTTATCTGTTTCTGGGCTGATCTGTGGGCATCAACCATTGGGAAAAGAGAAAGCAGGACCTTTCGGCTCCTCTCTTTTTCTCCCTACTACCGGGTACCCAAAGTGTATTATTCAGTGATTTCTTGGAGACATCAGTGTCAGCCAGTCACCAGTTTCAAGGGATGCATGGGATGTGGAAGACTTGGTGCTGTTTTAGAATGTCATCTTGAAATGGGAACATTATATTAAGGGAAGAGAGCACAAACCGGGTAATGCAGTGGTTGGTCAAACTGTATCTCAGGAATACCCTATGGATCAGTGTAAGATTTTGTTAAAAAAAAAAATTAAAAAGGAAAGAAAGAAGAGAAAGTAAGAAAGAAAGAAAGAAGAAAGAAAGAAAGAAAGAAAGAAAGAAAGAAAGAAAGAAAGAAAGAAAGAAAGAAAGAAGAAAGAAAAGATCTCCTAAGAATATTGAAACAATTCTGTTAAAAGCCAGATCCTGGAGTGCTGCTTGGGCCAGTGAAGCTCTGGGAGTCCAGTCCCAGCGTGGCGGAGTGTGTGTTTTCCTCCAAAACGCTCTAGAGCTCCTCTTACCTCTGTGAGAATGTCTAACCTCCCCGCAACCTTGAGCCGTCGGCCTTCTCTGGCTTAAGCCTCAACATCTGTTCTGGGAAGACATCACTGACCTGGTCAGAGAGACTCGAGTGCTCTTTCCCAGGCCCCCAATGTAAGAAGATCCCCAATGTAACAGGATTGCATTACAATTGTCGTGTGGTCCTGTATGTCCCCTCACAAAGCTGGGAGCTCCTCAGGGCTGTGGCTAATAGGTAGGTACTCAATAAATGCTTGTGAAAGGAATTTGTTATTGCTTGTGGAACTGGGGTTATAACATAAAAATTACATGGTAACTTGGAAGAAAACTCTAATTATGTCTAACTCCAAAGTAATGTGCAGCCCTGCCATGATTTTAATTTAGGCTCCTGAGACATTTGTTATCCTGAAGGATAGAAAGCATTTGCAATCCTTTTTCACGAGCCTATGACAGGAAAACCGGCAGCTCTGGGGGAAGGAGGCACATGCTTCTCCTCTTTATCTGTCACATAAGTAACATATTGTTCCTAAGTGCCAGGCGGAGTTAGTGGTCGTGATGGAAATTCGGAAGCGAGGAGGAACGGCATCGGATTACAAACGTAGGCCCGCGACTCATTAAGGCTGGTTAAAACACATACATGTCACAGCCACAAGGGGGCAGCTTAGAACTATGACATTACGGAGAGATCCTTCAGAGACCAAACTGCTTGAACTATGGCCAGAGTGGAAAACAGCCGTTAACATGTGGACGATTCGAATGGGGAAAGGGAGAAAGGGGCCGTGGCTTGCAGGACTTGCTGCCCACATCTTTTTTTTTTTT